AAATCAGTGCTGCATTCATCCTCCTTCCTTACCGAACTCAACGGTTTCTCATCATCCTCATCTTCTTCCGATTCCTGCATTTCCAATCCTACATTGCAACGAGCATTGCAATCAAACTGAATTCAGGATCTTCCTGCAGATCGTTTTTTCATCTATTGGCAATCCTTTTTTCTGCTGTATCTTACATTCAAATGCTAATATAATTTAAAATTAAGTATGTTTCTTTCAAACATAAGTAGCATGTTTAAAATAAACATATTTATTTTTGTTCGCATTGTTGTCAAACCAAAAAAAATATTCACGTTTATTTTCAACACGAATATTTTTAAATAAACGTAAAATTATTTTTATTTTAAACATTAATATTACATGACTTCAAACATGGAATACGTTTGAAATAAACCTTGTTTATTTTTGTGGCCAGAACAAACTGAGTTTACGTTTAAATTTACCTCAAATATTTTTGTTTCAACGATAAATTTTTCTGCATGTTCAATTCAAAAGTTCTTGGGAGCGTCCGTTTATGTACAATTAAGGAAGCAATATCGGGCAATAAACGAACAGCGATTAGTGGAAAAGCAGCTTGAAATCCGCATGTTTCTCCTGAAAACCGAGCAGAAGGTCGATTTTTTTTTCGATTCGTCATTTGGTGTGGAACTGCGCAAGTCGAAAATTTAATCTTTTGGGCTAAGAACGGCCTTTCCAGGAAAATCGGCAGAAATTTTCGGGAATGTTTAAATTAGCTTCTGAAGGAAGCCGAAAAAACTTCCAGAAAAAAAAGATAAAGGTTCTTCTGGAGGAAGTGTGGAGAAATACCTTATAAGTTTCTAGAAAAATATTGAGACACTTCCGGAAAAACCGGCGGCACATCCAGAGGATGCCAGAAAGTTTTCGGAAATCGGGAGAAAATTCCAGAAGAAGCTCAGAAAAACCTTCCAACAGAAGTATAAATAAAACCTCCAAAGGAAGCTGATGGCGAAACTTCCAGAGGAAGACAAAAGAAACTTCTGGGAGAATTGATACTTCGGGTTGAAGTTTACAGCGACTTCCTGTAGAAGACGGAAGAAACTTCCTAAGCTAGTTTGGAAGAAAGTCAGAAGCTTCTTCCGGGGAAGCCAGACGGCTTTCGTGACAATCGAAAGAAGCCTCTAGGGGAGGTTAGGAATACAATTCCGGAAGAAAGAGATTTCTGGGGGATGTCGAAAGAAAATTCCGGGGGAAATCGGTAGAATCGTCTAGGGAAAGTTAGCATAATGTTCCGCGGGAAATTGAAAAAAAATGGCCAGAGAAGACCGAAGAGCATTTCGAGCGAAGTCAGAAGAAGCTTTCGGAGGAAGCCGAAATAACTTTCCAGGAGGAATCGAAAAATGACTTACGGTGGAAGAAAATTCCTGGGAAGCTGGAAGAAAAATCCAAGGGAAGAATAAATTAATTTCAGAATGTTAACAAATTAACATTCTGATGGACCTTTGTGGTCACCAGTGTTGGAAAAATATCAAAAAATCAAATCTCACCAACGCCCAAGATCACGCTTGATTTTCGTAGACAAAAATTAACAAGCAAACAACTTTGGTTGATTTTGCAAGCTGTGATATCGCAGCTCGGAATATCAAGCTAACAAAACTCACCAACTGCAAATCTCAACAAACTGTGGTGAGATTGAGTTTAATGATTTTTGCTTTACACGCAAATGCAACCGAAACTTCCATAACGGCTTGCAGCAGTCCCTTCGCGTCTGCCATCGGTGAAGATTAAAAAGAGATAGGAAACTATGCTTTCTCTTTCTAAGAAAACGATGTGCAATGGAATCATTTTTGTGTCGAGTCAACTCTCAACTTGATGGTTGCACGTTGTGAATAGTCTCCCAATATCAAAGGAGCTTGTAAAATCAATATCAAGCATGATATTTTGTTCCAATATCACGTGTGATATTGCGAGCCCATGAGAGCAGAAAAATATCAATTGATTTCTGGTGGTCACCTAAAAGATAAACGTATTTCCCGATTCCCATGAATGAGCCATCAGCTATTTCGCGATTAGTAGCCAAAAACGGCTATAAAATGGAAACACTAGCATAAGAAAATTTTAAAGAGGAATAAGTTTTGAGCAAAAAAAAATAAAATAAAAAATAAAAATAAAAGATAAGATAGTTTTCTCTGACTTTTTTGGATTATTAAAAAATCGGTATTAATCGGCATAGAATTTCAAAAATAGGTATTCTGAGGAGTCTTATCTGTATATCGGTATCAAGCTCAAAAATCGGTACAAACATTCAAAAAAAAAGGCGGGATCTTTTATGAAAACTCTATGAATTTCAAGAACATTTTGAATTTTTGTTTTGTTAGTTCCATTATTTAAATTGCGGAAACCTTCAAGAAAATCTGAGAATTTCAAGTACTTTCCAAGTATGTCAAGGAAGATCCGAAAACTTCAGGGTTGTAGTTAGAACTTAAAGTTCGTCTGTGCAGAAACTTTAAGTTCAGGTTTCTAGAAGCAATCCAATAAATTCAGGAAAATTTCAGTTCTTTAGTGGTCTACGGGTTTCTAAAACATCAATTAAAGATTTTAAGGGAAGTAACGTGACTTTTCGGGCAGTTCTGAGAACTTCAAGATAGTTCCAAGAATATCAGGAATCTGGCGTGAATTTCAGGAATTATATGAGAGCTTCAAATAAATTTCTAGAGCTATAAAGCAAGAAAATAGAGAGAGAGAGAAAGAGATATTAAGAAGTTTCAAAAATCAAAAATATTCCAGATAACATCAGTTTTATTTAAGCATTCCGCCAACAACCCAATTTCTTTACTTCATGATTCCAATCTACCCTTCGCCTGCGCAAACAAATCGTTGTCTAAAATGCCGTATCTCAGCCGTGTTTCAACGAATGTATGAAAATACAAATATTTTGCAAAGTACCACGAGATCCTCGCCAGATATGAAATTACTTCCTTGAGCAGATGTTCAGGAATACAAAATCCCATTCCCAATTAATAGTTTTAACTTAAAGTGCATTGCATTTTGCAAATCATTTGAAATTTCAACTTTGTAGAACATTGAATAAAAATTGAAAAACAAAAATAAAAAGTTATGGTAAAAAACGTTTTTTTGGGGGAGATAGAAAATTTTCGTCTTGGACAAAGTTTCTTAAAACGACTTCATCTACAATGATTCCATAGATATTCATCAATTTTAACAACATAAACTTTTTTTTTTGGGTTTATACCTCCCTTAAGCAAAAATGTTCACTACTCAAATAAAGTAAAAATTAAAAAGCATTAGGTCAGCTCCAATACTTGCTTTTTTAACTTGCTTTTTTTTTGCTGTAAGTTGTTATAAACTGCCTATAATCCCACACTGTTCTAAAACATCATCCTCTGTTCGAATGAAACCTCAGACCATTTAAATCAAAACATCCAAATCGCTTTTTTCGAATGATAGCTGCAATCGGATGACGGTTGTTTTGTAATCAGATGATGCTTGTCTCGAATACAGGCCTCAGTTGAAATAACTAATGCTCTCTGTAGAATGATTGTCATTCCAAATTGAAATCTATATGGTATTGGCTTTGCCTGGTAACGCAAATCATCCATAACAATGATGCAAATAATTCTATCGAACGCCATTTGCTGATCTGAGCTGACAAACGAGGTGGAAACATAGTCATAGCTATCAGAGGTGGTACGAATATTGGTAAAGCGTGGAAATCGAAGATTGTCTATTTCGTGGTGGAGAAAGTTTCCTCTACTAACAAACGATTTTTGTAGCCATGTTGGAGTGTCTGTTCATGGCATTCAATATGGAAATGAAAACAATCGAATTTTAAATCTAATTTATAGCATTTTAAAGTCATCCTATTCTTAAATTGTTGTCCTCTGAGCGCTGTATGTTGTGCAGCTAATTTTCAAATAAATATCAACCTTTATTTCGATGACAGTCATATGGATGATTATCAGCTGATGATGAATTGAACCATAAAGCAATCATCCGAAATACGAAAGCATATTGTTAAAGAGCTCGAGCAATGCAATAATCATTCAAAGCATATCAGTCCAGATGGAAGAAGTACACGAATCGAAAATTAATTATTTTATTCATCATACATCTTTGGCATAACATCAGCCTTATACATCCCATAAGACAAACCACATAGGTCCTATAAGGATGTACAAACGGTATGTGTTATCATTTATACATTTCATTTGACACATGATCTGTTGATTAGTTATACATTTTATGAATAATCAGCAATAGAAATTAATTAAAAAGTATAAGGGGATTTCTTTCCGCTACATGTGAGTCATTTCCCCTATATATCAAAGTATGGCGTTAAATTTTAACATTTCAAAACCGTCGAAAATCACATGGGACAGTTATGTATCCACCGGCAGAATACAAAATAAATGCCTAATATATTCAAATAAAAAATATATTCAATATAAATACCTAATAAATATTACTGTTAACAAACAGTTTTTGGGGAAAACTTTGATGCCGCTCATTAAAGGTTCGCTTGGCACGTACCAGGCCCTTCGAGTTCTAAATTCGGCACTGCTTGAATTTTGTCGAAGACAACAAATCAAGAAGACTGGCAACTCTTCCATTTTCTCATACGAACGCTATGAGACAGGTACAATCGCGTCATCTGCCGTTCAAAGATAAATGCTTCGAACGAATTTGATAGCAAAGATTATATCCTCAGACGAAGGGTGTGTGTATTTGCTCATTTTACTATGCGTTGCTTCCACCTTCACTCAAGCGCAGCGCTACTGTATCTGTCGCTTGGATTCTGGCAAAGTTGTCAGTCTTCTTGATTTGTTGTCTTCGATTTTGTGCATCATCGTATATCCAGTGAGCTTATTTGCTTCGTACGAGCAGGTGACACTGAAATTTTTGTTTTCTTATAATTATTGTCGCAGCTTGCAAGGACTGTGATCCAAAAATATCGAACAAGTTTCATAACGGCAAAATTTATTCACTGATTTCAATAATTTCGTTCAATATATATTCCGCTTTATTATAACTACTAAATTATCAAAGTAAGAAGCAACACGCTGCAGTGTGTAACATGTGTAAAATGTTGGTAACGATAGGCAATTTCCATATTATCTAGTTAAATTTGACCGTGATCTCTCGACTGAACTGCTAGCACTTGAACCCTTGCTTCCACCGCTGCTGCCGCTGGATGGCTGGGACTGGGCTGAGTTTGCTGGTTTGATACGGCTTCGATTCAGTGAACACATGGGTGGCCCGGTTGGCGGCAGTGGACTCCTACATCTATTTTTCGGACCTAGCGACTTACCCTCAAGCAGCATTCCGTAACCATATGGCGCTAACCGGGGTATCTCAATCGAATGGATACACTCAAACTGACCAGTACCGGCTCGTTTATCATTAGTATTATCAATCACAACTGTATTAGAAAAAATGTAAGAGGATACCAATTTAAAAATATATCAACACCGCACAGCACTCACCTTTTACTAGATCCTCCAAAACTGCTGGGCAGATAACTTCGGTTACTTCGGTTGATGGTGACAAATCCGGGCTAGAGTTGATTTCGATGAGCATCGTCCGGAAGTTCTCCGTCACCATGAAATCAGCCCCGTACAGTTCAAACATGTTCCTCTCCATCTTCATCCCATCCAGGCTGGCAGCGACTATCGAAAGGACATTCTTTTTCATATCTGGATAGATTTTTCGCTCCCAATAGTAGCCTTTGCCCAGCGATTGCAAATACTGCTGGAACTGTCTGCTGGACCACATGTTGCAGGCGGGCAGTATAGTTCCCGGCTTCCGACCAGTTCCGGCGTAATTTTTCTGAATGGAGTAGTTGGTCAGATGGATGGATTCGTTGAAGTCTTCCAAATTGAATTCGCGGGAACTAAACCGAAGATAGCAGTCACGATACATCCATACCTTCAGCTGATTACTGGTGAACGTGATGAGAAAATACTGTCGAATGTCGAATTTGGTGTTGTGGACCAGAAGTGGTTTCTCTGTAATGGAGAAGGAAGGGTTTCTTTTAAATTAGTGCCAAGGTACAGTCGGGTAAATTATTCAGCTGTAATGTAATGTAATGTGTAACATTGACTTTACAATGACAAAAACGAAATTAAAGCAATATTTTAATTCCTCGCATAACGTCAGCTAGAAGTAATGTTTTAACTTGTTCTCAAGACATATTATAAAAAATATATAACATAGCTCTTAAGACAACAATTGTAGAACGGTCTACACTGATTGACGACAAATAAATAAATAAATAAATAAACAAAGATTCAATAGTCAATTTGTCGAACTCGCCCTCGCAAAAACCATCAGGTGACACATTTTCGTTTGAATCTTTCTTTATAAAAGCAGAGACGGCTATTTGAAAATACACTCTTGAATTGATATAAAAGAGTAATTCGAGATTTGGGAGTAATTGCTCGACGCACTCTCACCTCTTCCACGGTCCAGTTCCAAATGGACGAGTGGACGTTCCAAAAACCGTCACATCAAATCGTGATCATAGTATTTAACGACCTTTTCAAACGACATATCTCATCAACTACCATCATGAGCCGATTGAAACTCTATCTCTTTCTCACTCATACCGTTTGATTTAACTGTCTATCTATGTCTTCAATCTATTTCTGGTGCGTTGCTTTTTTACGAGAGAGATTGGTTCGGATTCGAACCTTGAACTTTACAACGAGTCTCACAAACCAGTGTATACCAGTATACCAGTGATTTTCAGCGATTTAAATTTGGTGTATACACACCAAATTTTGAATTCGTCTTCCAGCAAAACTATTTTTTACTGGATACCAGCAACGCTTTGTGTTGGAAATCAGTAAACGTATTTGTATTGCTGAAAACCAGTAAAATATGCAAGTGCTATCTGTCAGTTGGACTTATACTTTTTCACGTGAATCACAAGTTGGTAAACAGTTGTTAAAGTCAGGTGACAATATTATTCATACAGTATTTAGTTATTTTCTGCAAACATTCATCTTTGAGAGTGGTAAGATCCTCAGTAAGTCAAAATAAACTCTATTATGATTTTTTTTTTCAGATGCTGTCTAAAGCAGTTCCAGAAATGATCACTGACAGTTTCCTTACCTGTGGAGTTGATCCATCATATAAATTGTGTTAATCCCAAATAACATCAATCAACCATGCCCGTATAATAAATACGCTGTATTATGAATAAATACAAAAAAAAAACGTCTCTTGTAAATCAATAATATATATATACATTTATTAAAACAAATAAACAAAACAAAACAATGCTGAAAGTACAGCTGTTGATAAAAATAATTGCTGAAAATCCAGTAAAGTAACTGTCAAGCTGGATTGCTGAAAGGTCAACAAAGTTCATTTTGCTGGATGGATTGCTGGAAATCCAGCTCGGTGAAATCCAGCAAAAAATTGCTGATTTTCAGCGATTTAAATTTGGTGTGTACGTTTCCAATGGCGATTTAAAATGAATTTTGGAGGTATTTTGTATTAGAAATATTCACAGGGAGAAATAGGCGGAGAAAACAAAATACAATTCGGCAGCAGGGATTTGAACCTAAATTATCTTGCAACCCTTGCTAGAAGCCAGCATTTCACATGACTTTTATTTTTGATTCGATTTACGTACAAAATAATAATTGATTGCATCGCAATATTTTGCACATTTCTTCTAATCTAATCTAACACCAACACAGCCAGTTCTTAAAAGCATTCGGAAAATGATATATATTCCTACATCATTTTTGTTGTCTATTTGATATATGTTTCACATTGAAACGGCCAGGCCTACTGTGCAGCATTTAAGGGACAAGATGATTCAGAAGACATCGGGCCTGTTTAAATCGAAGATTTAAATACGATGCTTTAGAAACCAATAAATGGATGAAACGTAGATATCTCGTACCGTACGTTCCGATTTTGGTAATTATATGATTGATTGGTCGTTGGCAGCATCAAAGCTAGAAAGGTTCAGTGATGCTCCATTTTCTTCTGACGGTTGGGGCATGAGCACTAACTCTTGTCCTAGCCTTTTATGACTTATGGCTATAGCGCCATTACTCGCTTTCTGAAAAGAGAAGAAGGAAAGGAAAAGGAGAAGGACAAAGGGAAAAGGATTATGTGAAATCTATGAGCCTAAACAATATTTTTGAAATATGCATTATAGAAATGCATAACGGCGCGGTGGTCACTACCTAAGTCTTGTCACTATTATCAAGTCATTAAAGTAACAAGAACTAAAATGTGATCCTTTGGTTACTGGAAAATCCTGATTCCCTAGTTAAAAGTTGTCACGACTAGGGTTCGGTGGTAGATCTTTACCAGTAACGCACCACAAAAAGGTGATCTCCCAACGTTATTGATTTGAAAAGATAAAAAAATTCAAAACGGAACGAACTCACTAAGTTTATCCAATTGAACCTGATGGCTGCCTAACATGTGTTGCTGTAGAAGTCCAAATTGTAGGCGAAGCTTTACGAAGATAAACATGAACTGGTCCGGTTTATGGTAGTTGCGCGGAATGTCTTCCTTCGATTTGAGGTAAACAAATGTTCGGATGTATGTAGTCGATTTTTGATGTGCATTGGCAAGCCTTTTCGTGGCCAATAGTCAGGTTCAACGCTGCGATTCGACGAATGATGGGACGCCTCGTGAAGGTTCTACTTGGCTTCGGAACAGCTCCTCAGCGGCTCTAATGTTGGCCTATTGATCTAAGACTGGGCCCATCGCTAAAAATCTGTCATCGTGTCATGGATACAACCTCTTACTTTTTTTTCCTTGATTTGTTTTCCGTCGATCTTGTATTCCGTGCTGAGCACCAATGCTACCGACGCCAGCTCACACACCTGGACTCTACCTATCGACCCATCAACTCATGAACCGGGGACCAACAGCTTTACTTCCTTTCCGAAGAAAGGTAGGATCAGAGATGTTATGCCTCAGAACATCCCGGCGGTGCCGACTTGGATTGTACCCAGGCTAAAATTTTAAGTTATATGGTATAATAGTTAAAAAGTTACATATGTTTATGTGTGTGCCATTTTCCACGTATACTTTAGGGTTCACATGCATGAGGAAAAATTTAAATTTTATCTAGATCACGGAGTTGTGAACAAAAATACGATTGATCCCGTCATCATCAATGGATTACCGTAAGCTGTCAGTAAGCATTAATCTCACAACTACGGAAATTAGGGCGCCAGCTTCCTAAGAGCAAAGTTATTCAAAAAAAAAAGGGTTTAAAATCTAAACCTGAGATCTAATTTTCAGCCTACCAAGCACAACCCGCACTTTACCTTTTTTTCAAACGGATTTTCACATCTAATGGATTGTTTCACTTTTAAATTTATTTACCTTTCCATATATACCGTTTAACTTGATTAAGAGTCAGCAAATTGTTTATATTTTGTTAAAATTACAACACTGCTTTTTGATTCCAAATTCAGCCTACGAGTTTTAATTTCGTACAAATACATTGGATGGCGCTTTTTATTTATTTTGACGTAGAACTATGTATTTGTCGACTATACTGGGGTGCAAATCAAAAAAATATGTGTGGTGAAATAGTGTTAGGTTTTGAACGCTTGTAACTTTGTCATTTATAAATGAAAATAAAATCCAAATACGCCAATCGATAGGATATTACATTACAAATCTGCTGAAATAAATATTGTTTTCAATTTTCCACAAAAAACATTTGAAAAATGTTCAAATGATAATTTTATCTCTGTTTTCATGAAATAAACGATTTTCCCTAACCCAGTCATCATAATCGAGTACCATTTGGTTGCACATCGTTCTGCTTGAACCTGAAGAAGATATAAAACAGCGCTGATGTCGTGCTTTTGCTCATTACCGCTTCGGACGGCGTGGCATTTGGTCCTGTAACAAGCAGGACCAAGTCAGCGGCTAAAGATGGACGGCGTGATCACCTTTCACAATTAGGAATGGGCCTTGGGTCCCGTTTCACTAAACCGAAACGCGGAAAAGTTACATGTGCCAAACCGGTTCATGAGTTGATGGGTCGATAGGTAGGGTCCAGGTGAAGGAGCTGCCTCCCTGGCGTCGGTAGCAGTGCTGTAAATTTTCATATCATTCGATTGAAGATGAACCACTACAACCATTCAATCAATTCTGTGTAAACGAATTCTCACATGACCATAATTTGAAGAGCCCCTTTTTCATTCGAAGTTCATTGTCACTGTCAATTGAGTCACTCAGTATCATTTGATATACGACAGTGGAGTATGGAAGAAATCCAGGAAAATGGTCCCGAACAGACAAGTCGACCCGATGTCGGATCAATGTAAGGCTAATTTAAGGTCGATGTCGACCCAATGTCGTGTTAATGTCGGGTCAATTTTGGGTTTATGTCGGGTCAACATCGGGTTGGGGTTTGATAGAAGTCAGGTTGGTGTCGGGTTGGCTTAGCTTTTTCGCCGGAATGTCGACCAGAGCTCCGTTTGTGTGTAGGTTACACTCAATCGAATGATATATAGCGTTTCTCAAATGAGAATGATCCATGCCTTCGTCAAATGACTAAGCAACTGATATCACCCATTCGGAAGAGGTCCCCTTTGATAGCGAATAGCTACTTTTCTCATTTTCATCAAAAATGTTCAAATGATTTTGAGAATTTACAGCACTGGTCGGTAGTATTGGTGCTCAGCACGGAAAACAAATCAAGGAAAAAAAAGTGAACCATAACCGAAACATTGAAAGGAGTGCGCAGTAGGCTCTGCCCGCAAACGGTCGGTTTTAATTTCGCTGTCACAAATTCCGTATTTTCCGCGTGCTTTTTGGCTTGTACTAAGGCAAAAAGTAATTCGTTTTTATTATTATCATGTGTATATAGATTCATTATGATTAATTTATCAGTGTTTTAATATTGTGAATTATTGTGAAAATTCCCGGGCTAGAATTTTGTTTGAATAGTTGTGTTGCTGTAGCGTCGTGCTAGTGTGTTCCGGTGCTACACCTCCACTTCCGGAAGCAT